GAGGCAGTATCACTACAGAAGTAGATTGCCCCATCTTCCTTCTGAGGAGTGGCTGATGGGTTTGAACCGCCAGCCTTCTGGTTAGCAGTCAAGTGCTTTAGCCACTATGCTACCAGAGCTCCAATAACAAGTATTGGGTATCAAATTTTTCTTAATAGTAAAATTTGGGACTCTTTATTTGGTATCCTATTTGCCAAAATACATTTGTGCAACTGTTACTAAGGGTCTATTGAGGGAATATGAAAAAATAATTATGAATATGGGGGGGAGTGCTTGATTTTTTATCACTCTAGCCGAGGGTGGTCCTCACAAAAACCCCTTTAATGTCTCTTGGAAGCTTCAGGGAAACAATGACCTCCATTAGCAAACCTTGTGTGTGAAAAAGAGGCGGAAAAGGAGTGGTGACATCATAAATTGCATTCTGAATCTTAGATTTACAATTCTTTGAACCCTTCCATATTCAAGATCAGCATGATAAGATTGTGGTGGTTGTTGTTAGATGCCCTGGAGAAACTCTGCCTGGTCCTTTATCATCCTCACAATCTTTGCTGTGTTTGAGCCCCTTGTTGCAGCCATGATAAAATACCACAGGGAAATAACAATCAAGGAAATACAAGAGGAGATGGTTCCTGGAGAGTACTCTTCTTAACTCCTACCACCACCACAGCATTCTTAAAATCGTCGTGCACTTCAGTTTCCTGCCTTGTTCCTGTATTTTCGCCTTAAAAGCTCACTTTGTTGTTGTTGTTGTTGTTTGCCATCGAGTTGACCCGACTCATAGCGACCCATCCTTGGGTTTCCAAGGCTTTAGCTTTCATTTATGCATTGCCCTGACTCTATATATACAGAAGAGATACTGCTAGGAGAAATTATTGTAAAAAAGAAAAAAATTAGAAGTGAGGCTAGATGTTAGGCCTTTTAGGGTTATTTCTACAGGACCATAACCAAAACCCCACTGCCATCAAGTCAATTTTTACTCATAGTGACCCCCATAGGGTTTAATCTTTCACCAAAAAACCAAATCAAACTCACTTCCATCAAGTCGAATTTGACTCATAGTAACCCCTTTTGGGTTTTTGAAGTGGTAAATCCTTATGGAAGTAGATTGCCTAGTCTTCCTTCTGTGGAATGGCTGGTGGGTTTGAACCACCAGCCTTCTGGTTAGCAGTCAAATGCCTTAGGTACTGTGCCACCAGAGCTTCTTTCTATAGGACAATTAAATTGTGTAGCTGGGGTAAAAGTGTCTTTTAGAAGTGATGTGCTGCTTGCTATCTCAATTTCCACAAATTAATGATACAGTAAAACCACAGTTTAGTAATGAAAAGGACCATGGAAAGATTAAAAATATTCAAATTTTATCTGTTCTAAGAAAAATGCAGGATTTATGGTTTCTACATATGAATAAAAGACTACAATGCCTTGTTGTTGTTGTTATGTGCCGTTGAGTCAGCCCTGACTCACAGTGACCCCTCCTTGGGTTTCCGAGGCAGTATCACTACGGAAGTAGGATTGCCCAACCTTCCTTCCGGGGAGTGGCTGGTGGGTTTGAACTGCCAGCCTTCTAGTTAGCAATCAAATGCCTTAGCCACTATGCTACCAGAGCTCCCACAATGCCTTAGTTGCTCTTAATTATACCACAAAGCACAATATGCTGCAGAAACTTTTTTTTCCCACATATTATGGGATTTAATAGGGAAGCACCAGGCTACAATTCAAGTTCAGGAAAAACGCTCAGTCTCTCTCAGCCCTCCATCTCTCACCCAACAGTCTCTCATAGTCTCTTTCCCATCAGTGGGTGTCCCTCGGTGTCTCTCTCAGCAGTGTGTCTCTTGTGTCTCTTTCCCAGCAGCGCTTGTCTCTTTCAGCAGCACGTCTTCCTCAACCAGCAGTCAGAGAGAGAAAAACTATTTCTTAAAGATGGATTAATAAATATATTAACTATTAAAAGATAATCCTGAAAGTAGTTTACAAAACAACATCTAGCTGATTGATTACATTAGAAGTACAACAAACAGACCAATATGTCCTGGACATCTCACCTACTTTAGTCATGTTGTCAGAGGGGAACATTCCCTGGAGAAGGATATCATGCTTGGTAGGATGGGGGGTTGACAAAAGAGGCGGAGACCTTCAACGAAATGGGTTGACACGGTGGCTGCAACAATGGGCTCAAGTATAGCAGGGATTATGGAGCTGGTGTGGGATCGTGTGGTGTTTCCTTCTGCTGTGCACGGGGTCACTATGAGTCAGAAGCAACTCCACGGCACTTAACAACAACAACCTCACACCATCCTGCCAGGAACTAGCTTTGTCATTGTTAGCTGTCATCAAGTCCATTTGGACGCATAGTGACCCTATGTACAACAGAACAAAATACTGCCTGGTCCTGCGTGTCCTCACAATGGTTGCTATGCTTCAACTCATTGTTTCAGTCTTTTTCAAAGACTTTCTACCAAGCATGATATCCTTTGGATTGATCCCTCCTGATAACATATCCAAAATATGTGAGATGGCTTTTCTGTGCAGCTGCTGAGCAAAGAGGGCATAGTAAACCCCCACTGCCATGTGGCCAGGTGTTGGCAGCGGAGTCTGCAGGCTGTGTAGCCAGGCTATTCGAGATGCAACAAAGCCTGAGTTTTGAAGATGTGTAAAGATGTCGATTCCAACTCACAGAGACCCCCATAGTGTTTTCTACACTGTAAATCTCTAGTGGAAACACACTGCCTCATCATAGTCAATGTTTTCCAAAGATAAGTCAAAGGATGGCTAGGAAAAAAACACAAGTGAATATTACAAGTGGAACCAGAAGTTAATCTTCTAGGTAGCTGTGGATGAATGTTCAAGTCCTTTACTATGGTATTAAAGAATTCTTCATTGCCTCAAGTGTGGCTATATGCAACATTTTGGGAAGAGAAAATGAAGAACTGGCCATGAAGACATGAATAGAAGCAAGTGAAGAAAATTTACTTGACATTGATAACCTTATTTCACAATAATTATTTAGAAAATATATGTTTGAATACTTAATATCTTATTTGCTGGGCAATAAAATTTTTATTAAAAAAAATATGTGAGATGAAGGAACTAATTATCTAAAAGAAATCACTTTCTCAGAACCTCGGTTTTCCTCATTTATAATGAAAATAATAAATTCAGGTTAGAAGGCCTTGGTATTTCCCTTCTTTTAGGTCCACATTCTGTGACTCTAAGAACAAATATTGTGTAATTTGATAAAAAAAAAGCAGGAAAAATTAAAATTCTTAATATATAACAATGTTATATTTAATTTGATGCTATATTCTATACTAATTATATTGATTCTTATATTTATAACAATATTTGTATAGCACTTTACAGTTTTAGGGAGCTCTGGTGGCATAGTGCCTAAGGCATTTGACTGCTAACCAGAAGGCTGGCGGTTCAAACCCACCAACCTTCCTCCTGGGAAGGAAGGTTGGGCAATCTACTTCCGTAGTGATGCTGCCTCGGAAACTCAAGGAGGGGTCGCTGTGAGTCGGATCCGACTCAACATCAGTGAAGTTTTTGGGGTTTTTTTTTTCCAGTTTTACTAAGGTTTTGTATTCATTATCCTATTTAATCACACAGCATTGTGCTAGAATAACAGACTGGGAAAAGTTAAGCTAGCTGCTCAAGATCACGTGGCTAGGAAGCAACTTGCTGGAGTGTAACTCCAGAGCTGCTTAAGCCTGAGCAGGTCTTTCCTTGACTCCGAGGTCAATCTCAAACAACAAATGAACGTTAACTTTGCTGACTTTCTGTTTCTTTAGTTTTTTTCACCAGTATTATTTTATTTTTGATAAACTTTTATTTGAACAGTAACTATGTTTTATAGTAAATG